GGCGACCTGCCTCACTGCCACTTCATTCGAACCTAATATTTTTCCGAGATCTTCGTTTTCAACACTTACAAATTTATGTAAACATTGTTCTAAAATGGGGGGGGCACGCGGTAGAGTAGTTGGTTGAGGCACTATGCTACAAGCCGGAAGATCGCGGGTTCGAGTCTCGATGAAGTGGATTTCTTTTTTCAATGGACCTAATCCTTCCAGCCGCACTATGGCCCTTAGGTAGACTCAGCCTATAATAGTAATGAGTACCATGAATCTTTCTGGGGGAGTAAAGGGCGGACGGCGCGTAGGGCTGACAACATTACTGCCATAATGTGGGACCCTCAAAGTCTCACAAACCTATGGGCCTACAGTTTTGCCTTTTATTCTAAAATTTATTAATTTGATAAATGAATAAATAATACAAAACATACCTAATACAAAATTCAATGTTCACACATACGCACATGGAATTCATTTATTTATGTAACAACATAAGAGTACAGTATAGCTATCAATTGCAGAAGAACGTATAATTACACGAGATAAATTATCCTCAGGGCTGATAAACAGTGCACATTCCTCATAACGACAAGTAAATAATTTTACACCCGGGCAGATAAAACAGTGTGTAATGAACCTACCTACGACTTTCTTTCGCAAACTTCTACGTGACTTCATTTACAACATGAAGACTGCTAAATATAGAGGGCTGAAGGCAAACCAGCTTCATAACGGGTTTCACTGGGACTGTCTCTCTTTGGTGGTTTTTTGGATTATTCTTTATTCTTCACACAAACAGCCGGGATAGCTCAGTCGGTATAGAAACTGGCTATGAGCTGGACAACCGAGGGGTCGGAATTCGAGTCCCGGTAGGGTGAAGAATTTTCACTTCTCCAATCCTCCAGACCGGCTCTGGGGCCCACCCAAACTCCTATCCAATGGGCCTCGGGAGCTCTTTCCGCGGAGGTAAAGCGACAGGAGCATGAAGCTGACCACTCACCTCCAACTAGTGCCGAGGTCAAGAAATTGTGGATCTATACATCCACTCCCCCATACGTCTTCATGCCGTAGTGCTTAATTAGTTAAGCACAGGGACAACTTTACCTTACCTCCTTCATATAAACAGTCCCATATGAAAACACGTCCTACGTCTAATATTAGACTTGCTAATCCTACACAGAGATTGCTCTAGAATGTAGCCTGTACCAAGCCCAAAGCGACGATGATGTGAACATTTTTACACCTGCAAGCTGACGTAAGCAACCGCGCTACCTGAGTAGGTCTATCAGAGAATTTGTCAAACTGCATCTAAGTAAATCCAATTATGGCACAGATATTCCTTACGTAACAACTTTCTTTCATTTAATTCTCGGTCTGTCTCTTCCATTAAGCCATCAAGTCTGTGTTCTCATGGCAGAAATTAAAATACAAACATATTTTTTGACTTCTTATTTACTGCGCTTTCTATAACTCCAAGTTAAAGTATAGCACCCAATGTGACTGGGTGGTTATGAGTGCTGAAGAGAGATGACTTTTAAAGGTGTTGATCATGGCATTATCCCGGCATTTACCTGGGGAGAATGTGAAAACAATGGCGAAAAGAAACTTAATCACAAAAAACGGAAATTTCGCCAAGATTCGAACCGGATACTTCAATACTACAAGCTTAAAGCGTTATCTCTACGCCAACCTGACTGATACTGAGATGTGTTACGGGTAGACTGGCCTAGAAATGTGGCTAGGTAGGTAATGGAGATTCCTGAAGGCTCCCACAGCCGTCAGACAGTAAAATATTGTCACGAGTCTCGTGGGATTCGGGACCAAGACTCACTGCCGCAAAAGGCCAGCAGCAATTTAGCTGCCAGTAAGTGGCTAGGTAACTACATTAGTGATACTGTGGCGCCTGTCCTCCCAGCATTACGGTGTGGCTAATTTAGTTTTCTACGTTTTATAACCACGCTGTAGAAGTAAAGTAAATGTATCTCTGTAACAGGCCGTGGAGGCCCATAGGGTTGTGATATGTTGAGGTTCCCACATTTTCTAGACAATCGGCTCATTGATGGCGGTAATATTCTCAGACTTACGCACCGGCCGCCCTTTACCCCCAAGAATATTCCTGGTACTCATTTCTGTTAGAGGCTGAGTCGACCCTAGGGCCATAGTGCGGCTGGAAGGATTAGGTCAATTGAAAAAATCCAATGACCTCATCGAGAATTGAACCCACGACCTTCCAGCTTGTAGTACAGTGCCTCAACCAACTACGCTAACTATATTTCAGAATTTCAAACGACAGCTGTGCAATTTTTACAGACTACAAGAATCAACAGAATATCTGTTGAAAATTCTACGCACAATTCCCAATTAACCAGTCTACCACATTTTGTGACCTGACATCAAAAATTCTTGCGGCAACCACATTCGATAATCGAAATAGATACTGTATTTCTGAACTCAGACAGCCGCTCTTCCGAGCATTCGTGGATTCAGGCCACAATCTTTCTGAATTTTGCATTACAGCATCCTACAGATAATTCTAACAATACCGTCAACACAACTCTCCACTAGCGTTACTATTCTTAGGCGGCCCATACACGTACGAGTCTGGTTCGGCGAGGAGCCGGGCTGGGATTAATTTCACCACACACGGACGAGTGTGGCTCATTGGAACCCGAGCCGAGTCGGACTCGCGAGCCAGACTCGTACGTGTACGGTCCCCTTACCCACTTTCTTCGTCATCTTCGGGTGTTATACATACTGAAACATCGGTCATTTCAACCGCCACGCCATACATTATAACACAACATAACGTGACGATTCAGATGAATAATATTTGTCTGTATACCACCTGAAGAACAGGGTTGAAACACTTAGTGTGTGAGAATAAAGACACTATTAATACCAGACGATGTGTTGATGGTATTGTAAATATTGCATCTTTCTAAATTTCTGCCTCAACTCCACTAACAGGATGTTTCCAGCAATGCGATTACTTCCAACTTGCGACCTCTAGCTTCATCACAGAACTAGAATGACCCACTTTCACGTTGTGGGTGAGTTACACGACACAAAATACCTAGACCTACACAATATACTTAGGCATAACCGTCATTTAAGTACATATTTGTGGCTGGTGCCACTGCACAACTGGCGATCATAGTACATCACCAGTCACGATTTCTATAACATTCGGCCCCAGGGAACGCAGCTGGGTGGATAAACACACACAAAGCATGTTTTAAAAAGCAAATAGGCCAGTTCGAGGAGCCGCGATAGCGTAGTCGGTATAGCGACTGGCTACGGACTGAACGACCGGGGGGTCGGAGTTCGAATCCTGTAGAGGCAAGAATTTTATCTTCTCCAAGTCGTCCAGACCGGCTCTGGGGTCCAAAAAAAACTCCTATCCAATGGGTATTACGACGTCAAGAAAATGTGGGTCTATACATCCACTTCCCCTTACGACAGGGGCAACTNCCCCCCCCCCCTTCTCCGCCGCCCCTGATGCTGTAGTCATTTGGGATTGTTGAATGTTGCTCCTCTACAAACTGTCCCATTTTCATAAGCCCTCTGTCAACTTCCCCTCACCCCCAAATGTTGACATCACGAAATAAATCGTTCCAGAGAAGTGCCCTCTGAAAAGCACAGAAAACTGTACACTGCCAAATTACCCTAGGTTTATGTCGCTGAAATTTTCAGCAGGTGATCTGCTACTTTATAATCCACATTGTCTGTTTCGTGTGTGAACTTCAGTTGCAAGGCCTACTGTTAAGATATAATTTACACAGTTTGGGTACATATGAATGCGGAATGTTTTTTTTTATTGCCAGTGGGGTGGGACTAAGTCCCTTGTACTGCGGCCACTTCTGGCCTATTGTACCAGTCCCAGATGATGGGTGAGGGTGATTGTGGAGCAATTGGTGGAATGAAGATTGGCAGGAGAAACCGACGTACTCGGAGAAAAACTGCCCCAGCGCCACTTTGTCCACCACAAATCCCACTTGACCAGACCTGGGATAGAACCCGGGCCGCCGCGGTGGGAAGCCAGCGACTAACCGCTTGAACTTTGGCGCGGCCCATAATGTGGAATAACTCGAAATAATTCGAAAGAAATGACAGAAAGTAACTCTGACATTCTACTCTCCGCTCAAAATTGTGTTATTTTAGTGTGGTATATTTGTACACAGGCCCACTGGTTTCGTAAGAAGAAATGTCAGTTTTCAGTTCTGTAAATGTGATTAGCTCAATATTCTACTCAAAAACCTGCAACACTTCTTCCGCGACACAAGTTGGAAATGAAAACATGTGAATGAGCAAAAGCAACCTGCTTTCTCACAATCCAAGGCTATGCCGGCATGTAGTGTATGTAATTTTTGTGAGAACGGGGTTCAAACCGACCTGTTTAATATAGCGGATCCGAATCACCGTTCACTGGGGGCATGCCTCCTATACTTTTATAACCCTGTCCGAATTTCTGACGTTACAAAGAATAAATTAATCAAACAACAAGAATCGTATAAGGCGTAGCCTCACAACAATCGTGAAAGTTTACTCTAGACAAACGACTCTACGTGCTTTCGCAATACAAATGCCTTATGCTAAAATACATGTCGTTTGGTCATAAAAGTAACTAACTCAAACACAAAATGTAATAATATTCCGGAACCGGTCACCGCAAATAACACCATGTTGCCACAACTAATATGAAAACACACGTCTTCTGGAAGATAAGAACGAGGTACCGGCCAGATGCAGCGCAATAAAAATGTAAATTAGTTCGAAAAAGTACAATTGGCCAGGTCTGCAATCTGAACTTACATGCAATAATAATGAAGTGAAAGTAAATAATGAACAGACGCTGAAATGTCTACAAACTTTGGCCTATGAAAACAAAAAACCACACCCTAAACACAACAAACGACCATCTTCTACACTTGTTAATAAATTATGCTGCTAGTAAAAAACGCAATAACACATAACCAAATATCGAATGACTTTATACAATTTTCACTGACCTGTGTATGATAAAAGGCTACGTTCCTTCTTTTCCCGGCAAAATGAAAACGTGGCGGGATATAAATCGTTGGACGTCAGTAAAGCAACATACAACTACTCCCATGCACTGACACTCGCCGACTGACTGACGAACTGGAATATCTGGAAAACGTAGGGGACAGGCTGGCGCACGGATCACCTGGCGACTGTTGCGCCAGTTGGGAGGTGGTGAATCATAGGCTAGGGACTGCAGACATGAAAGGCATACATATGGAACCCGAAGTCCGTATTAAGAATTCTACATTAATTCATTGCTGAATAGATACAACAAACATAATACGAAGAGTTTTCTGAAATGTTAATTCACAGATATGTTGTGTAGCCCCTCTCCAGTGTCGCAGGCGAAATAGTAGGAAATTTATTTAAAAAGAATGTCAGCATTTTTAACACTGAAAGTAAAAAGCGTATTTCCGTTAAAGACAAATTATCAAGATTGTCCCACCGAATGTAAAAGACAAATATTCGGTACCTAATACAAAACGATAAGTTTGTAAATTCAAAACAAATTATAACAACGTATGTAGAGTCCTCTACAGTCATGTTTCACAACCGTTACTCAACGCAAGTTACACACTAATATTTGACTTTCTATAGGTATAGTAAGACATATCTGTAAGAACTAACCTTTTGTCTCTCAGACCCATATACCGATCTGATAACTCGGAAATTAAGAAATATGAAATAATCGGGACATTGAGTATGAACTCGATTGAACTCGTTCAGACCGACGTCAGATGGCAAGCTGTTGTGAAGAAGGTGACCTCCTTTCGGCTTCCATAATAGTATGAAATTTCTTGAATAACTGCAAACTTTTCCGGAAATGCACTACACCTGGAAGTTCGCTGTTATTGCAGCCAGTTACCTATTATTCTTCTTTGTAGTAACTATCGTATATGTTAATACGGCATTTACATTTAGCATGTTGCGTAATTTTTATTTTTTCAAGAGTATCCTACACAGGGGAATCATAGTAAAATGAATATGTAAGTAAAGTAAAGCTATCCCTGTAACAGGCCGTGAAGGCCCATAGAGTTGTGAGACATTGAGGGTCCCACATTATCTAGACAGTCAGTTCAAAGATGGCAGTAAGGTTGTCAGCCTTACGCGCCGGCCGCGCTTTACTCCCCAGGAAAATTATTTAATTAATTCCTGGTACTCATTTCTGTTAGAGGCTGAGTCGATCCCAGGGCCATAGTGCGGCTGGAAGGATTAGGTCAATTGAAAAAATCCAGTGACTTCATCGGGACTTAAACCCGCGACCTTCCGGCTTGTAACATAGTGCCTCAACCAACTACGTTACCACGTGCCCCAATTAAAATGAATACTAGAAAAATTACTCAAAAGTTGAATTTGGGGGGGGGGGAACACGGAGACGCACACACATGGTGATAACGTAAGTCTGTTTTTTCTCCTTCTAAGAAAGTAAAGCAGATTAGAAATGATAACGGGCTGAATATCGCATCATTTCAGAGGGGGGTGCGTTCTGACAAGATATCAAACTTGGGTAGGATCGGTCTTTAGATCATTTCTGCCTCTGAGCCGCAGAGAAAGAAGCTATCCTGCGAACAGCTGGCAGGATCTAAACCCCAGCGGAAGTTAGATGTGGTTAGTGAGACGGGAGAATCTTTAATTATACTAGATTTGTGTACGCCAGTCTTTGTGTTAAACCCCGTACTATTTTCTACAAGGCCTCAGAACACAAAAATCATTTCGTTATTCAATAAAACACAACATTTTGTCAATGTACAATAAAACTGACTGACGTCATATCAAGGATGACCTTTAAAAAGGTTATAGGAGCTCAGCTAATCAAGAAATTTCCCACCCGAAAGTTCATTACTGCACTCATGATTGTCCATTACTGAGGCCTACAGAATCAATCAACTTCTCATTCTTTTACTTTCAGATCGATTTTAATATAATTTTCCCCTTCTACGCTTATGTTTCCCACGCAGTGTCTTTTCTTGAGATTTTCCGACAAAAATTCTGTTTAGAACTAAATTTCTCATCTCTTTTACGTCTGATTCCATGGAGCTCAGATCCTTATAAGCAACTGGTAGTCGTTCGGCTGCTCAAGAATTTCTCGTCTTCTGTGAAATCCAAAAACATTCATTATCGTGCAATTATTCAGTTTTTGGACACTATTCATCGTCCTGGTCTTTTATTTAAAACACAACGTTACAGAGACTGAAATCTGTCTCCGTTCTTAGGTTAAAGCCTACTCCGTTGGACCCAATCGATAGTCCCCATCTTCGGAGAAAGGGACTACCTCTATCGATTGGACCCAACTGAGTAGGCTTCTACCTGAAGACGGAGACATATTCCAGTCTCTGAACCGTTGTGATTAAATAAAAAATAAGGTCCTAAAACTCATTAAATATGTTACTACACCATTGTCACAAACTTTTAGAACTTATGTTCATTATGCTGTTCACAAGAACCTACCCTGAGTCACCTGAATCTAGCCCACCCCCTCACATCCTACATTCTTCAGTCTATGCTTAGGCATCTGAAGTGATCTCTTCAGTTCAGGTTTCCCTATTAAAATTTTATAATTATTTCTCATCTCCTCCTGGGTGACACGTATCCCGTCCATCTCATCCTCCTTGATTTGATCGCCCCAGTATTATATGATGAAGAGAAGGCTTAAAAATTATTGAATCCATCATTACGCATTTTTTCCCCTCAGTATTTAACTGTGCAATCAGACGTATACCCTTATGTGTGGTACTTCGGACTTAATTTGATTCCAACAAGGCAATTACACCAAATTATATTTTAAAAATATCTTACTTCTTAAGTGGAAAAACGTTGCGGTAATTATCATCATTTAAGAAAGGCAGATTAATTATTTTGCCGCGGAATGAACTCTCTGCTCTAGTAAATTCCGATTCACTAAACCACTTCCGGCAAATGAAAACTGTAGAGGCTCTTCACGGGAGGTCATCAACCTTCCGGTACGAAAGAGTGTTCCAGTAAGAAAGGACAGTGGTTATGATTGCAACGTTGCCCGTTATGACAGCGCATCTCATAATTCTCTGTCTGGAACTCAATGCCGCTTTCTGTGCGTGGATATGGTGAAGCTACCAAGAACTGCAAATAAATACCCTTATGCTTCAGTGATCCATTTATTCTGTTTGGTGATATTTAAAAGATAATTCCTCCAAAATACTCGTATATGTAGGTACCCACACGAATTATTACGAAGCTCAAAAGGTGAATTATACATCGGGGAAAGGGGGAGGGGAGCCTATCGTAAGCTAAAAACTAGATTTCGGGCGCCCGCCATGTCGTTTTAGGTTTTACAGATACAGGTAACGCGCAAAAGTCTTATATTCTTCAAAGATCTCTTGCAATACCACATAAAGTTTCATGATCATTTGTGCCTCACCCACCTCAGCAGTTCACCTGGCCACCATGTTGATACTGATAGCATGGGATTAAGAAAATATAATTCTGGTCTGGCCCCTACTGCATGATGTCCGTATCAAATTTCACGAAAATGCACTGAATATATACTATGCTTTTAGAAGGTGACAGACATATGAATATGCGGATATGATAAAGCCTTAAGCCTGTCTTTCCATCTAAAACAATGCGAGCACTCCAATTGCGATTTCATGAAGTCGACAGTGACATGCTGGAACTAATGGGCCGGTGGCTTCAATAAGCATTGCAAGGAATAGAATAAAATCAGAACTGCAGATGAGTTCAATGCACGTACTGTTAGGTCAGGGGATACCCTGAAAGGCATGCCGACAAGACTAAACACGATGAATTGGAAAACTGATTCAATGGATTAGGGTCCTTCTTCAGACACCCATGTCGCCCCGCTAGCCAAGAAATTCTCCGCCTTTTATAAAACCTGATATTTTATTGCGCGTGCAAAAGAACCCACCACTGGACTCTCGGATTCTGTCCACACACGAACAACGTCACTCTCTTAGATCCAGCTGAATGTTCGGCCTATTGCTCCACCTATCCAAAGTGGTTCCTTCCGGAAGTACTGAATGCATACTACTCCTCTCCTTTTCGTGCTACATGACACACCCATCTCATCCTCCTTGATTTAATTACCATAATAATATTTCGTCAAGATTACAAATCGTGGGGCTTCTAATTTTAAATTTATTCCACCCTATTTTTTTTCTTTCCTATCAGTTCTAAATGACCGCCTCTGTGGTCTAGTGGTCAGAGTTCCTGGCTATAGATTCAGAGGTCCCTGGTTCGATTCCCGTGTGTTACCAAATTTTCTGAGAAGTTGTCGGCCTGGAACGGCGTCCACTCAGCCTCGTGAGGATAATTGAACAGCTACTTGAATTGAAAAGTAGAGGCTTCGGTCTAGAAAACCGAAATTAACGGCCGTGGGGATACGTTGCGCTGACTACGCGACACCCTCTATCAGCGAAAGTTGGCACTAACTTCGCCGACAAGCGACGGTCGCTCGGTCGGTATAGTTCGCTTGCGGACTAAAGCCACGGAGTTTGTTTTGCTTGTATCAGATCCAAATATTCTCCTCCTGGCTTATGTAAAAAAAAAAAGGTAACGTTGAAGGTATCCCTGTGCTTATTTAAGCGTCACATCACACCATGAAGTCAAATGGGGAGAATGGAAGTATAGCTCCAGACATTTTCATTCTGGGCACTGGAATGAGATGGGTAGTCAGCTCCACGCATCGGCTGTTTTATTCGCGGCACCAGTTCGACAGGAGTCTCGGTAAGCCCCAGAGACGATCTGAAAACTGTGGAAAAGAAAATTTCTTGTCTCTGGCTGGAATCCATGGTCGTCCAACCTGTAGCCTAGCCGTGAACCAAGTTTTGTAACACACAGGCAGAGACTGATTAATAGACAGAAACAGCCACTTCAAACATTACGTGATTATGGAGGGAATGTAATATATTGGTTAGTAAGAGTACATGAAAAGCCAAATTGTATGTGAACACGCTAGCAACTACTAAGACGGATACTTGGAGCGAAACAAACAATGGGAGGCAAATTCTACGGCCGAGGGGCAAACTGTTGCCTCAAAGGAATTGAACTTTAGTTCATTCGTATATAATTCACAACGTTCTGTATGTGCTTCTGAAGTGTTCGACTCGAC